ATATATATATATGTATACATATTCATATATTTATGTATTCTTTTATTCATCTATTTTACTTCTTTATTTATCTATTCATGCACATTAATATTTGTACACTATGTGGAGCTCTGCATTTTAGGCGGCGAGCCAAGACACCACAATGAGGCAGCGACTTTGGGACCCCATGAAACCATGGGCCTGTGCATGGACCTAGACTCTTACCTGTGCTCCTTCTGCACTGCACATGCGGCCCTGAAGTGGCAGTGGCGAGTATCTCGAAGCTGGTGCTCTCGTAGGGATGCAGGTATTGAGTCTTGAGTCGGGGCCACCATCCAGAAACCCTCAGCCCTCAAGCACGAAACCAGCAGACAGTGTCGGGATGCAGGATGCCCGCAGACAAGATTTTCACTGATCTTATATAACATAGCCGACAATCTGTCTTTTGCTGTGCGGAGTTCTTGCAAAGCCTCCAGGCCGTCCAGCGCCCAGTGAGGGCCGATTCGAGGCTGTCGAAATGGGGTTTAGGGTTTAGGGTTTATAGTGAGTAAAGTCAAAGAAAGAGGATGCAGCAGTGAAGTGGTTGATTGCCTTTGCTCGGCTGCTTATACTGAGGATGTTAGTTCCAGTAGGTGCTCTGACCGTGATGTCGGCAGGTGCCTGACTGCCGCAAGTGATTAGGATTTGTGCCGGGAGGTACGTCGAGATCGATGGAGTAGTCCACGAGGTCTCCGGCTGCCTGGCTGCATGTATCACTTGGATCAGCCGAGCATAAAGCCAAGTAATTCACGATTATGCCTTGGATTATTGGATCTCCTGCCGTTTACAGTAGGGTATGGTCTTCAATGAAGGGGGTCGGAGATCTCTCCGTCGCCCCTGATCAAGGCGACATCGTGGCCAATTGGCCTGAAGATGACTGGCCGCGCTTGATGCGCTGTCGGCTTCTCTTTGGTATCCGAGGTTGAGTTGTTATTCCCGCCGTCTCGGACATCATCAGGGTTTTCCGGCCCGCAGGGCAGATGATGCATTTTCCGAAGAGACGCTGGGGTTCTGGACATGTCGAGTTCTGGGATGGTCATGGAAGAGTCTACCGAGAAATGAGAATCGCTTGCACCTATCCCTCGAACCGACATGTGCTGCAATTAAATTTGGCAATATGCTGCCTGACCTTGTCAGGTACGCAGCGCTGCACTGTATAAAAACTTGTACAAACCTATTGCGTCACGCGCGCGTGCCATTAGGTACCAGCTGTTTCGTCCTCTTAGATTGGAGGACCAGGCGGACCCAACAAACGGGTCCTGCTGTACTACAAGAGACACGGGAGATCCAGCATGGCTCGGCGCAAGCCAGGCTACAACCAGTTCGATTCAAGTGGCCGGTTTCGGGGCCTGCTTACAGTTTGCTCCTGTTCCTATCAGTGTACGAAATGCTAGTAGTGCCAAAGACATGCTGGTGCTTCTTCTGCTACTAGCAGTCATTTGAAGCCTTGCGTTTCATACCGCTCGTAGTGTACTAACGAAGGTCTTAAAAACCTTGTTCAAGAGTTGAGTTGTCTCCAACGGTCCCTAAACCCGTCTGAAGCTCGAAGCATCATTAGACCCTGAACCGCAACACAGTTCAACCCCCAGCCCAAAGATCTCCTCCACAAACCTTCACGCCAAACCCTCCAAACGATTTTTAGAACCCGAGACCCTGAACCCAAAAAATTTCAGGCCCCCCCCCCCAAGAAGCCCAAGCCCTCCACGTTGAACCCCCTGACAGGCCTGTGGTGCTGAGAACTGGAAGGCCGTGGGGTTGCCCCTGGCGCCGTTTCGGGGCTCTAGACGGTTGTGGCTCGGGGTCTTGAAGCGGGGTCTTGGGGTCCATTTGGCGGTTGGGGGGCTTAGTGTAGGGCTGGATTTAAGGCTATGGGGCCAGGGACTTATGTGATGCAGGGTCACAGTTTTTGTAGAGTGTTCATGGTCTGTACGGCTTGTAATTTTTATGTGAATGGCTTATTATGTTTATCTTATTTGTTTTTGCCGATTTTGGATGTTGTTGATTGCTTCGTTACTTTTGCGTTCTATGAGGGTCGAGACTTTGGGTTTCGGGCTTTAATCAGTTGAGTGCTCAAGGTGTGGGGTGACCTGGGTTCGTAGGTGCGGGTTTCGAGGTTTAGTTATTTCGTTTCCTTTGGGCTATGGCGTTTGTCTGACAGCCGTGTCAGGACAGAGCAGAGCGCAAAAAGCTTGAATGGTGTTTCGGAAAGGTCTTTGGCCAGTCGTACAGTAACCTCTCAAACCCGAATCCCCTATAGTCCCCATGCTGTCCTTTACAAGTTGATTCTCCCTTCTCGTAATCCCTGAAAGGGGTCCCTATATGATTCCTTATAGTCATCTCTCCTTGTGATCCCTAAACCCTAAACCCAAACCCTAAACCCTAAACCCTATAGTCCCCAGTTTCAAGGCCCTTCAGGGCCGACCATCAGCTCCTCCCTCGAAGCATGTGCTCGCCCACAGGCTCGCTGTGAAAAGTTCCGTGGCGACCCCAACTTGTGCGATGTTCACTAAGCGACGGAGAGAGGAATAACAGCGCGGATGGGTGAGATGTGTCTCTACTATATCTAGTATCTATATTTGTATCTATACCTATTTCTCTATCTATATCTGTATCCATATCATATCTATTTCCATACCTACATCTCAATCTTTATCTGTATCTATATCTATATTTATGTCGCCATCTGCATCTATATCGATATCCATATCGATAATTATATCTACACCTACATCTATATCGATATCTATATCTATATTTTTCCGCATCGATATCTGTGTCTGTGTCTACATGTATTCATATTGAAATTTGCGGTGTTTTCTTATACATGTTTGTGTACCGCATCTATCACGTAGCAGTTCTCTAGGGTTCATTCATGGGCTGACCGAGCTATTGATGGAACCCTCAAGAGCACCGAACTTCTGAACCCCTAGATCGATACCCCAAGCCCTATACCCCTAATGCCGGGACGCCTGCGAGTCCTAAACCTCTGACACCCCCTTACAAAAATCCCTATAAACCCCTGAATCGTCGAGTCCTATAAACCCTAAACCCTATAAGCCCTAAAGCCCTAAACCCATCAAGCCCTAAAGCCCTATAAACCCTAAATCCTAAACCCTCTGGACCCCTGAGGCAGAATAACGCCGACCTTCAGTCCGCCCTTCAGCGGCGGCATCCTCAGCTGGCAGGGTTTCAGGATCAAGGGGCTTGCAGTGCCTTCGGGGGGCCTTTTAGGGTTTCAGTAGGGCTATAGGGCTTCTAGGGTTCTGTTTTTGGGCTCTATCGTAGGGGCCTTCGGGGTTTAGCCCTGGGGTTCTGGGGGGCTTGGGCTCTTTGGGGGCTCTTTGGGCCCCTGCCAGGCTCCGAAATCGCGAAGGTCGACAGCCCGGACGAGGCGAGCAACAGGTTTTTTTTGGGGTTTTGGGTTTAGGCCAGTGACCAAGTACCATATAGGGATGCTATAACTTAATAAGGTCACTGTGCGAATAGCTTAGGGATATTATGCAGATATTATAAGGTTACTATACGAGAGTCCCCGACTTTTAAGCCCCAAGTGGAAAACTCGTAGAGCCTTAAAGCTTCATATGCTTAGCCACGGTCCTAACCCCTAAACCCCAAATCGAAGACCCCAAGGTTCAGGGTTTGGGGTTTAAGGTTTAGGGTGTAAGGTTTAGGGTTTAGGGTTTAGGATTCCCCAAGTGTCTGGAGCCGCTTCCAAGCATTGATTGGCAAATGCAGCTCAAAGTACGTCAGTCTCTGGGTCCATGTTTCCAGATAGGGTTAGTGCAAGAAGGATGACATAAGGATACTATAAGGATTGCTTTAGGGCTACCATGACGGCTATAACGTTATTAATTATAACGCTACTATAGGGATACTATAAGTTTACTATGAAGACTACTACATGGATACTCTAAAGGGTTACTATCGTGACATTTAATCATACAGATGCAAGTACAAGAATGCTATTATAAGGGATACTAGATGGATACTGTAAGGGTACTACGAGGCTTACTATTACGTGTCGGGCAGGACATGGGGCTTCGGGTTTGGGGCCGGGGTTTAGGGTTTGGCATCTCGGGTTGTAGGAAATCAAAAAAACTGTACTGCAAGATGAGTGAGTGAAGCATGATAGCAGGATAAGTCTACACAGCCCCAACAAACATGGATGGTTGCATCGTGCAGCGTGAGGGAACATGCAGTCGGTTCCGGATTCGACATAGGGCTTGAGGATCTGCGGGTAATGTAGGGTGACAGGGTGTAAGGGTGAAAGGTTTGATTGCAGGTTGCGTACTGCCGCTGCCGACTCCGCCCACATCTGAGATTTCAGGGAGGGCTCGGGCTTGTGGTGCAGTCACTGTAGGTGCAGACGCTGCGCGCTGTCACTACCTAGGCTCTGACATCTTGAAAGAGAAGCCAGAGATTGGAATTTACGTGGAGGTGGAGGCCAGCTGCGCCTTCTGCCAACGTTTGTTGCCCTGGAGTTTTATATTTTCTCGAGGTGGATGAGTCTCCAAATCCGTTGCGAGGGCAGAGTCAAGAGCACCGCTGAGGTGAGTGCCAATGCCGACAACCTGAGCCTGGCCGTTGTTGACTTTGAGAATGGTGGACGGAGCAGTCCACGCCCAAGCAACAGGACAAAGCACATCAAACATGAATGTGCATGGCGAGTCCAGCAGACTGTGCCAGCAGGTGTAACCTTCAGCCCCGAAACCGGCGCTGTGCTTCGTCGCAAGCCCAGCATGCAAAGGTGATCACAGCATATCGCAGCCACGTGATACTGTCCGTAGTAACGGCACTGCGACTTGGATGCATCCGCGAAGGAGAGCGCAAGGTGCGCGAGTCTCCGAGAGCCATCGAAGGAACGTGCCCTTTCAGAACTCAGTGCATGCTGGGCTGTTTGAGCTGTGGCTGCCCATGCTCTCTACTTGCCTGTAAAGTCATATTGGCTCGTGGCAGAAGAGTTCCTGCAAACAACCTAGTCGATGGGCCCAAGGATGGGGTGGCCCTGGCAAGAGCTGATTTGGGATGGTTTGTTGCTGGCTGTGGTGACGATCCATCTCTTCCTGACGCCCTTCACAAAAGTTGAGGAAAGCTTCAATCTCCAGGCCTGCCATGATGCGCTCCTGCATGGTACAAATTTGAGAGAGTGGGACCATCTGCAATTTCCAGGCGCCGTGCCCCGCACCTTCCTTGGATCTATCGTGGTCTCCGCTCTCGTATTCCCGGTGCGCCTTTTGTTGGGAATTCCCTCATCCTCCTCATCTTTGCTGCGGCTGGTGCGCTTCATGCTCGGCTTCCTTTCGGTTGCCGCCTTTGCACGTCTTCGCCGGGCAGTTGCTTTGGAGTTCGGCTTGCAAGCGTCACGCGCACTGGCAGTCATAACCTTTATTCAGTTCCACCTGCCCTTCTACATGAGCCGGACGCTTCCGAATGTGTTCGCTTTGCAGCTGGCAACCCTGGCACATGCGCATCTGGTGGCTGGCTCTGGCTACCGATGCCTTGTGTTGCTAGGCCTGGCAGCTGCCGTGTTCCGCTGTGACCTTCTGGTCTTGATCGCTCCCGTCGGGCTGCTGTTGCTGTGGCAGCGACGGGTGGACTTCTTTAAAGCTGCGGCTGCAACTGCCCTGGCTGCTCTCTTGGGTGCTGTGGCGTCGGTGTCCGTTGACTCTGTGCTGTGGCAGCGATGGCTGTGGCCAGAATTCGAGGTCCTATGGTTCAACACCGCCGAGAATAAGTCCAGCGACTGGGGCACTCTTCCGCCGCTCTGGTACTTCTACTCTGCTCTTCCCAAAGCTCTCCTGGGAGCAGCTCCCCTTCTGCTTCTCGCCGTCATCGTAGAGCCACGGGCGCGGCAACTGGTTCTGGTGCCTCTTACTTTCGTGGCTCTCTACTCTTTCCTGCCCCATAAGGAGCTACGCTTCATCTTCCCGGCACTGCCTCTGCTGAACGCGGTGGCGGCCACAGCCGTGGCACGTGCACTGCGATGGAAGGGACTCTGGAGGAGTCTTGCTGTCCTTGGCCTCATTGGCCTGGCTCTGTCAACCCTCCTTGTTACGGCTACTATGACGGTCGCCTCATTTCTCAACTACCCTGGTGGAGTTGCTCTTACAGGTCTTCAGGTGATGGAGTGTAACTCCTCCCAACCCCTGGCGATACACATTGGGAACTTGGCAGCTATTTCCGGAGTGTCCCGGTTTTTGCAGGATCGTCAGGATTGGCAATACTCCAAAGAAGAGAATCTGGCGCCGCAAGCTTTGGCAACAAAGGGCTTTGACAGACTGCTCTCTGAATTTCCCGAGGTACCTGGCTATGAATGCATTGCCGTAGTTGAAGGTTTCCAGCGGATGAGGCTGCAAGCAAAGTGGCCGCCGGTGGGGGCGCTTGTCGCTCCACAAGTATATGTATTGTCAAAGTCAGAAGCTGGTAGAACGATCGCGTGCAGTGATGAGATGCACCCGAAGTGGAGTGCCTCTCTCCGTCCAGATTTTCAATTCTTGCACTCGTGGAGTCCTTCCTGCCCATAGGACGATGCTAGGCACCCCAACTCAAAACCCTCGCGGGTGCTCTCTCAGGCTGAGACCGTTGAAACAGGAGTGGGCCCTTGCTGCTGCGCAGTTCCGGCCGTGAGACTCAAGAGACAGCTCCGTTCAAGAAGGCTTGAAGGCCTGCATAAAACCCTACAAAAATCACATGTTTAGCTGCCATTGTGGTGACGACTTCCTCACACAAATCCTTAGAAAGATGGCCGATTCACTTGCATCTTACGGTGTAAAGGGGTTGGAGAACTCGGAGCAGCGCTGCCCCTAAGCATGCAGGGCAGCACTTCTTCGTAGTAGACCAAAGTCGATCGGCCTTCTGGTAGCAGTGTTGCTGGTGAAGAGGTCGTGGTGCTACGGGCGGCGCGGGCGGCAGTAGCGGTCATGGCAGTAGCCAGTAGCAATGGCGAAGTCTGCAATGCGAGCCAAGTTTGCGATAGCAGAAGAATCAGAGAATCTTTGACTTGCGATATCCACGCTCGATCGGAAACTAGACCCTGAACCTGCCCTCCCAAAAACAATTGAATCCGCCTCAAAACCCGGCTCACATCCTCGACGTCCGTAGCAAGAACGCGAACAGCCTGTGCCTCCGTAGTGCTCCAGACAATGCTTTCCTCCGAACAGATATATAACCATAGGTACCCAATACAGGGGGTAGGTTATGAGCCCCTAAACCCTAAACCCTAGGTCGTTGTAGCGCTCAGAAATGATGCCCTCCCGATCGGGTCACAGGTACATACACTTGCTGCCTCCTGCTCCTCCCGGGCGGAAGTTCGAGGTGGCATCATCTGGCGGGACGTTAATATAACGGAACACAATATGTTATAGTCTGTTTCTCATTCATATATATATATATGTATGTATGTATATATATATATATATTTATCTATCTATCTATCTATCTATCTATCTATCTATCTCTCTCTCTCTCTCTCTCTCTCTCTCTCTCTCTCGCTCGCAGCCACATGTAACCCACCTGCACCCAGCTCCA